CCCTAAAGACATGGCTCTTCCAACAAGCGGGATTGGCCTAGGGGAATTTTAGTGGGGTTTTAAGAGTAATTTTAATTGACATAGGCCACAGTAAATATTTCTTTTTAATTAGGTTTTAAACTGGGTATTTTTATTGTTGTATCTGTTTTATAAGGCTGTCAGCCGCCCTGAGTCCGTAAGGAGAAGGGCGGGATAAAAAATAAATAAATAAATAAGAACCAGATGAAAAGCTGGAACTGGGAATCTTTTTCTGAGTTGCGGAAGAGGGTTTTCTCCTGGAATGCTAATAGTAGAAATGTTAGCTGTCTTTGGCAGTGTTTGCTTACCTGAAATGCTTAACAGGTAAAGAAAACGGATAGTACATTATACTTTGTTCCAGAAACAGCTGATGGTGATTGGCATAGACGTGTATCATGATCCCAGCAGGGGGAAGCGTTCCGTGATGGGCTTTGTGGCAAGCACCAATCTGTAAGTGTCCTTTATATATATATATATATATATATATACGTTTGGCATTCAGATCTATGGGGTCTGTTCTAGAACTGGGGCCCTTAAGTTCACATAGAATGGCTGACTTCCAAATATTTGATATTTCTGGTCTTGAGGAAAAAAATGTGCTGCTTGTGTGTCAACGCTGCTAACATCAGATGTTCTTGCTTTGACAACATATGGAGATGCATCCATTTTCCTTTAAGTTTTACTTTTAGAGTTAGAATTAGATGATACTGGGGAAAGGGAGGAAGGTGCATGGGTAATTAGTTAGACAAAACAATATACTGTATAGTGGTGAGAACCAAGGCTGTTTGTAATAAGAGATGATAAGACATGGTGTGATGAAGATCTGGGTGGAAAGCCAGCATTTCAAACTAATTGGAGAATGTGATTTATGACTGTTAGTTAGAGGAGGGAATTGTGCTTTGATACTAGATGCTGAGGGGAGGGGAAGCCAGATTTTGGCTTGGACTATGTATGTGCCGATGTGTTGCTACTCAAATAAAGATTCTTTAAGGTAAACAATGCCTCAAAGTTCTTTGAAGAGTTTCATCTGTCGGAACCTTAACATTGTGATTCATGTATTAGGGTTTTTTTTTATTTGAAAAGAACATCCTTCCTGCCCAAAGTTAGGAAGCACAGCTTGGCTTATTTCTAAGCTAAGCTTAATTCACAAACTCACCCACTTCTTCTCCACCCTTCTCCGTAGTGTTCCACTATCTCAGGGGTAGGCAGCCTTGGCTCTTTTATGACTCGTGGACTTCACTTCCCAGAAGGAGTTGAAGTCCACGAGTCATAAAAGAGCCAAGGTTGCCTACCCCTGCACTATCTGCTTATCAGCTGACTTCAGAAAGAAAACCCTCAGTTTTTCTCTCTCTTGTCTTGGATATGGAACCCTTTACAGCAGGTCTTTATCCTGCTCATTTCCCAGGAGCCACTGACTGTACGGGGTTGGGGGGAATTTCCTTTTCTGCTACGGAGGAGATTTAATTAGAGGCTGGGTGGAAAATGCGAAGGATCTGCAAGTACGAAAAGACAAAGAGCACAGTGAAAATGTGGGAGTACCATTAAATTTAAAAGACCACCAATTTAAAGAAGACCAGTAACGACAGGTAGAGCAACCAGCCTTAGAGCTGACAATGAAGATATTGAAATGGTGGATAGTTGCTGACTTTCAGGCCCAAACATCAAGAGGACCGGAATAAGCAATCAAGAAATATGCTGCGGAATTGCATTTAGTAGAGCAGTTAAGGCAGCCGTGGAAACTTCTGTATCCCTCTAGATCGACTCAATTTATTATTTAAGTGTTAACAGTGTTAAAAGATTCCAACGGTTTCCAAAAATACAACTTTGGCCTAATTGTGAATTATGAGGCTCTCCTTCTTTGAATTAACAGTATTAATATCATTACACTTTTCTGCCACCAGAATTTTGACACGATGGTATTCCAGGGTTGTATTCCAGACGCCTCATCAAGAAATAATAGATAGCCTGAAGGTCTGTTTAGTAGCTGCTTTGCAGAAATTCCACGAGGTGAGAAATGGAACTATTATTTTCCGGTTCTCTGGAATTGATAGAGAAGCATGTCCAGATTAACAGTTTTGTATATATATTTTTTTGAGAAGGTATGTTTGTTCCATTGTGCTGCCTTTAGATGCAACAGGAGTGCTTTGTAACAGAAGATCCTCCAGTTTTCTTCTCAGTGACTCCATGCTCCAACACTGGAAGTTTTTAAGAAGAGACTGGACAGCCATTTGTCTGAAATGGTATAGGGATTCCTGCCTGAGCAGGGGGTTGGACTAGATGACCTCCAAGGTCCCTTCCAACTTTATTATTATTATTATTATTATTATTATTATTATTATTATTATTATTATTATTATTATTATTATTATTATTATTATTATTA